TTCTCATCCAGGCACCAGTGGACTGCAGTTTCGACCTCGCATCGTGCAGACAATGGACTTCGGACTAGGTGCGTTCCTCTAAGTCTTGCTACCAATAGCTTCCTTTTACTTCAAGGAATTTGGTCTATTACTGGCATTTTATATATCATACAATTTCGTCCGACTGTACCTTGTATATGGAATCAGATTGTTTTTATACCTGTTACTTTTCAATACTATTTTAGCTACTTTTTTACTCATTAGAGTCCCTATATATAGCCTTGTTTCTATTTTCAAACTATTATTTAGGGTTCATTTTGCAAAACTTTACAAACTTCAAACTGGTGTAATATTTCTGTAATTTTTTTGGCTTTCATCATTTCCATTGTTTTACTTCATAGCTTTATAACTTATATTTTTATTCCTTTTAGTTCTTATCTTAGTTTTCTTAAGTTTTTGTATATCTTTTAACATCTACCTAATTTGGAGTACTTTTTGCCTTCGCTAAAACTAGTTCTTTCCTCGTGCATGTTTCTCAAGTATTGGAAATTATCTAATAACAACATATTCATCCTAGATCGCTATAACCTTGAATTTTTTACTTAATGCAATGACTATGCTATTAAATTTATCTAAGCCCTACCCTCCAAAAGATTTAACCATAACGAATCTCAGTTTTAATGAGAAAACTCCCTGGAATGCATGACTAAGTGAACTTCAACAATATTGTTAAACTGAACTCTTATTCAGAAGCACCTACTGGATGTATCCTTTGCCCTCTTTTTATCCGAATTTTTGTTCTACTTTTCGTTAGACTTATCATCACGAAAATACTTCCCTTGTCAAACCAGTTACCAAGAGACGTCAATTACCATTGGCTGGACGCAATCCTGCACACAATCCTGCAAAGCGAACCCGAGCAGATACAATTTCTGGGTATATCCCTCTTACATCGAATTCATCTAGGGTGCCATCAAAGACGGTTCCCCAGCCTCATCCCATTCCTTCCCCTTCAAACGATTTCAATAAAGATGTGCAATCGCCTGAAAAGCCTAATCATACCTCTATAGCCGAGGTATCTAGCATACGGAATGAAGACCTAACTATTGAATGCCTTGCCTCCCTTGCTCGGGTCGGGACAGATCTAGCTCGATTTAGAGAGCTAATCCATCGCATTGCTGCTACCCAACCGAATTCTAAGGCTGTCGTTGAAGGCAATGCTACCCAATTCATAATTGAGCGTGCCTTGTGTGTTTCGCAAGGTCTGGACCAGGCTAAGAATATGGGCGACATGCTTCAAAATTTTAGCAAAGATATTAACGATTTACTCGATATGGTGAGTTAATTGAATTTTTATTATCGTCGTTATAGTTTACTGCCTTTGTTCGAATTTCCCTCTTAGATTAATCTTGTCGATGTCTGTCTTTTATATAAATATGTTTACTTATTTTATTAAATATTCAACTTCAAACAATCTCTTTCAGCTTATTATATTCCAACGCAGCTTACTTACCTATTCACATGATTCTTGTCGAGGCTTCTTAAGCCTTGATTATTCGTTTTTGTTGCTTTGTTAATATTTTATCTCATCTTATTTGATTATTTTGATTTAAATTTTTTACATATCCCTTCACACCATTTATATCAGCCACAATTTATGATTATTCGGGTTATTTGAAATAAAGCTTCTGTGTTAGGTGATGTTTGCATCATGATTGTCTTTTTGGCCTACATATTGAAACAAAAGTGGAAGGACCACTACAAGGCTTGATTGTAGGATTTTTTGATTTCAACGTAGATAGGAAGACCTAAATGTTGTTGCCTCTATTTTGGTCACAATCTCCTTTCGATGTACACTATTAATTTGACCTTGTTTTCTCAACTTGGTCATATTGGCAAGAAGACCTAGAGGAACATACCTTGCCCGGAGCCCATAGTGACATCGGTCAACCAGAAAAATAAAATACGGATCCACGTGCCCATTAGGCAGATCCGGGCAGGAGGCCTGAGTTGGATCAACCACTCGAAAGGGAGGGGAGCAAGGCAAACAGAAAGTGTGAGGATGCCACGGTAAATTCACTAAAAGGGCATACCTCTTGTGGAATATAAACATGTCAGAAGTTGTGATAGGACGAAGACGAGACTAGAGGGTAGGAAATGGATAGAGGGACCAGGAAAAAAAGGAGTGATAGCATAATCGTTTAGGCTAAAAGTTGGTCAAGGGATTGACTTTGACTAGATGTAGTTTGGTGCTGAGAATGTCAAGACTCACTGACGATGCCGTCGAAACGTCTGGGAATTTACCAAGTCCACGGTCCGACTTTGGTGATTATCATGCACACTATGAATTACGGATAAGTTGCGTTCCTCTAGGTCTTCCAGCCAATAATACTTTTTTTAATTTCAGTTTATCTTTTAGTATACCTCCCTCTTTATTCTAACTTATAACATACTTTGTGTATTTTAATTCCTTTTAGCTAAAAAATCATAGAAGATCTCTAAAGGATCTTCGGTCCAGGCTTTTTACAGGTAGGCTTCTGGCTTTATCAAGCATAAATCTTGATTGTTGTTTTAAGGAAGGATCATTTGGTTGATTTAAGCCGTTAGTAAGGTATTGAATTATTGTTTATTGAATTACACGCAACGGATAATTTGATAATTTACGTTAGCGTATCTTTCATTTCATTTACAAAAGATAATTTTATAGTATCCTTAATTGGCTTCACCAGAGACAGGAGGATTGAATCTGAATAGTGGCCGGATATTTGCGACGAAGTTATCGGTATTCCATCATGCAACCTCAGCTAATCACTACTAAGCTTTCTTCTTTCTTGTGACAGACATCAAAAACCTGAAGCCATTCTTTATGAAGCTTTTCCTTTGTGGATAAAATTGCCTTTTGTGAGGTGAGAGTAAATAAAATTCAATGGCATTACGAAGCCTACCCATATAATTGTGGTAAAACTCATTTGTCAGTCTTTACTCCAAATTAGGCAACTTAAGATAACCTTATTTACTAAATTTTATCGAGCATTAAGATAGGAAAGACGGTTGGCTGTCACCCTACCTTCTTATTGCTTAACTATGACCAATTAATGAAGCATATGATTAGAACTTAGTTGCTTAGGGTTACTAAAGGACTGGTAATTAAGTCTTCCCATTAATATATTAGTAAGCGTCAGGAATTTCTCCTTGCTTCCTAGGATGGACTGCAAGTTCGACTTCGCCTAAATCTCATCAACACCCCAACGCGAATCGACACCGGGTTGGGAGTATTCGGGTACGTTGCCCCTCCATTACGCAGTCACGAGTGCCAGTGGTTTATAGCACCGTTATTTTGTGTTTTCAATCGTCATTGTTAATTTGGCTGCATTGTCATGCCAAGCACCTACATTTTTTTGCGGGATTTCTGGGCTGAAAAAATGGTCTAGTTCACTAGGAACCGTTCGCATTTGCTCCATGCATTTAATTCCGGATTTTTTCTCACATCTTCGTCAAGCTTTACTGGTTGGAAACTTTTTAAATTATACTTTTAGCTAGCCTGTCCACGATTAATTAAAGAGAAAGCTTTTTTATTGCAATGTATATCACATTTTAATGCATCCCACGATATTTTTTGGCATTAGATCTTTCTTGCAAACTCATTAGTATTTTGGGAAACTCTTTTGTAAATGAGGGTTTCTGGCCCTGACGATGTCTGCCATTTCGCTGGCGAATACTAAGCATATTTGCATTAGGGCCACAAGTAGATGAGCTAACTAAGGTCTTCTCACAATCCAGTACTAATAGTTCTAAGTAAATCTTCTTTCATTTTCTACTGAGTCCAATTTATTTAGGGTTTAATAACAAATCAGGTGCTATGGTGAAATATTTACTGTTAATGACCAAATTCGTCAATCTAATTAAATCTTCTTAATTTTTTGCTTAAGCTCATCAGGATGCAATTATTTTGTTATTTCTAGGTTCTATGTTGCTCAGATTACTGAGGTCGACGCTAGGTCGAAATTACAAGGCGATTCTATACATTGCTCATACACCATTTTGAAATCTGTAAGAA